TCCGGTTTGGCGCTGTGGATGAGAGCCATGTCATTATGTGCATAGGAACTTCTCGAGGAATAACTTACGCGCCAGTCAGGTGCACCGGGCCCTCCGGTTTGGCGCTGTGGATGAGAGCCATGTCATTATGTGCATAGGAACTCCTCGAGGAATAACTTACGCGCCAGTCAGGTGCACCGGGCCCTCCGGTTTGGCGCTGTGGATGAGAGCTATGTCATTATGTGCATAGGAACTTCTCGAGGAATCACTTACGCGCCAGTCAGGTCCAGCGGGCCCTCCTCCGCCGCCAAAGTTGCGCTGCAGATGGGGAAATAAGGCAATGTTGCGCGCGAGTTAAGATTATAAGAGTATGTATACCTCTTCCACGTCGGGCGCCGCGGTCTGTTCAAATGTCAGTAGAACATATTATTGGAAAACGCAGTTTGGCTCACGGGAGCTGCAGAGGCCATGCCCAGGATAGCGACAATAGACAGGAGAGAGAACAGCTGGAAGCGCATTGTATCTTACTGAGTAATGCTCAGAGAGGGACTCACTCAATGAAGTCAAGGGAAAATCCAAAGGGGCTTTTATACTCGAGATGAAAGCCGAGATCGGGGTAGAAAGTGAGTCAGGGGCCAGAATTAGGACAGGTATGGATCAGGTACACAAATCATCAATGTTAGCGTTAGGTTGTTTCATGCGACCTCATGCTCGTCTATATCGACTCACGCGAAGAGGTACTATCGACTCACGCGAAGAGGTACTATTGACTCACGCGAAGAGGTACCCGCGATCGTTTGCAAGACAACGCTCCGCGCGTATGCGTTATGCACGATAACTGGCCCTTCCAAGGAAGCTCTGGCAGAACGGCCAGCCTGACCCGACCGCTGCCGATTTCTGCTCACCGCTCGGAGATTCATAAGAGGGAAAAGTCGACAACCATTGAAATTAACTCACTTCTTTCGCATCGGGCGGCTACAATGTTAAGTACGCCATCGAGTGCGCGCTGACTCTCGGGTATCTGGCGCCTGGTAGCAGTCGACTTCAACAGTCGACGCCCCTTATTCAATGCCATTAAATATGCAACCGCATTCCCCGTAATATACTTGTCGGCGGCACAACGCCTTACTGTCCCCGAAGAGATTTGAATTTCTAGTCAGACTCTTAGTGTTTGTGCCAAAATACTGAAACCTTAGACTAAATTTCGGGGGGATCGAAGAAGGGTACCGATGGAAACGTGCGTTGTGAACTGAACCTCCGCAGATTGTAGTGACCTTGGGACCTGACTCACCGCGACATTGGGAATTTCACATGAGGTGCATGCGGACGTTCTAGTGTGCTTGGAGAGCCACCTTTCCAGAAATCACTACTCTAGATCACCGCCGAAAAACATATCGCGGCACCGAACGCCTTTGTTCACCTAATACGGCCGCCGCGCCGCAGTAAGACTGAGTAAAGCAGAGTTAAATTGGATGACTTACCGTAGGCCTATCTGAATAGCAACTTTCCACATCAGAGAGGAGAACGCCACCAAACAAGTGGTTTTTACAGAGTCCAATTTCAAACCAATTCAAATATCTTCGCCGGACCAATGAGCGAGCTCACCGCCTGAGGTACCCGAGCTCGTCAAAGGCGTATTTTCAGGTGCAGATTTGTCGTTCCGGATCATACTCAAACATTGATTCGGCATGACAACGCGACATTTTCGTCCTCCAACATCAAATTTTCCACTGAATGCACGCAACCTTGTGCACTCCTTCCAGATGGTCTCAACGCAGTTTAGAACATGTATCTCAGTTGCCTGACCGAGCTCAAAGAGAACAGACAGGGGATGGAAACACGCGATGCGTGCCTGCTGTGCATCGGCACCTGACCATGGCACTGTGGAAACAGGCCGCGGGTGCGATCGCTCTGTCGGCTACTGTGATAGGCGCACGGAGGAGCAGTAGCCATTCTACATTTTGGACCGCGAATGCGAGGCACTGCGTGCTTCATGCTCGTTATTATTCTATCTTTCGTTGGTGTCTAGTTCTTCTGTAGTTATGCCACTATGTAGACGGGGGCTCCGAAGTGACCGACCGCAGGTCAGACGCGGTAGGAGCTCAGCTGCCGCCGTTGGTGCTCACTAGGTACACTATTACTCGAAATCAATAATAAAGCAACCGTGCGTAAGCACCGGTATACTGCCAGTAAAACCCATAAATTATCATTAAAAAAATCTACAGTGTAATGGTACATATGAAGCCTAACTTTCAGTTTTCAAAATCAGGGTCCAAATCTCGCCGATCTCGCAAAGACTCGAGCTCGTGTCCGTAGCTCCAGAAGTCTACCACTTCTGAACTATTGGGGACACTCATCCCCGCTCTCAGCTCTTCCAGCAAGCAAGCGATATCAAGTATTTGCAAGAATTGCGCTCGAGAGTCTGGGTAAACAAAGAGATTGAGAACTTCAGCGCCCTGGTCGACAGATAATCGAGTCAGGTCTACGGGCAGAATTGTGCTGCACACGTACATATATGCGGATTATCGGAGCAATAAACTCTTTTGGCGCCTTTTCCAACCTTATGCCCGTATCATTAGCAAGTTCTTTATCCACGGACGAGCTGCCAGGTGACGAAGGCGGTGCATCGTACTGTCTGCTTATGATCTTCCCTTTCCCCTTCCCATCAACGATAATCTCCTCTTTATTTTCCTCAGGGGTACCAGCATTTGGCGCTGTATCACTTTCGTCCAATGGATAATCGATCCCAAGCCACCGCTTCCACAGCTCAAGCTTACGTCCGTCCCGATCGAGCCTCTTCAATGCGTCGTGACACCTCGTCCAATCGCGCTCATCACCCTTCCATACCCCCATTACATCATCTTCATCTTCAACCGGACTCGATACAACGGAAGGTGGTCTCGTCACGTCGTCATCTTCATGCATGATCAAGACTAGCTGCGGGGCGTGTTCCGCCATAATTGGCGTGCCTTCCAGCTGATTTCCATCCCCAGTCTGCTTCAGGTTTGTTGCCGAAATTTTCCTTCTAGGATTCCGCACCATGAGCCGAACCCATCTTCTGCGTCGAACCCAGCCTCCTGCACCCAGCCAGCCCGCGTTAGGGCGCCAGCGTCTAGAGCGGAAAGACCATGCATACTCAAATCCGTCGTGTTGAACTTCATCGCCGCGCATATCTATCATCCAATCACGCGAGACCCAGTGCCACGTTCCGTCGGGAAGAGGATAAGATGCAAGAGATACGGTTGGCTGAGCATTCCAGACGCGTCGGGAAGGTTCAGGTGTGGGGAGGGTATAAGACGGAGGATCGAGCGGCAGAAGGGACTGGGGAGAGTAATAGGGTGTCGAGAAAAGAGTTATACTGAGTGAGGAGTAGCCATGTAAACCTTGACTGCTGTAATATTCAAGGATACTTACCCTCGCTGGTTCTCATACAGTGTAGCCCACTTGTATACAGGCTTGCGCGTAGCATCGTCGCATGGCAGTTCCCTAAGTTGTTCATCATTGATTTCCACAAGCCCTGCATCTGAGACTGGTAGCGATGGAAGAAGGTGGCAATCCCGATGAGTTGTGTCGGGCTCGTAGTTATACACCTGTATTTTGGCTTTCCTCCTGCGGCGACAAAAGGTAGGTAGAATGCGGGTGAACCTCCTCTTCAGTAAGAGGTAGGTGCGTGCCTGCTCCGACGTAGCTGGATCGCCCTGTTGTAGAGGGGGACTCACATTCATCGGGGTCCGGGATGGACCAGCAGGCGAGTACGAGTCGGACATAGCATTGCCCACTGTTCCAGGCGGGCGCAGACGGTTGAAACAGAGGACAAGGTTAGGGTTAGCGCCCAGCTATCCAGGAAGGAGCGACTGGCACATGACGTCATTCTCTTGCATTCCGCCACTGCCATGTTGCGCCGCTCCCTGGTCCAGATCAGACCGCCCGCCGTACGCCTGTACGCCCGCTCCTTGTCGACAGCCCCCCGTATTCACTCGTCTGCACTCGCCCCATTTTACTGGAGACACCCCTTCAGCACCACGTCTGGCCCGCGCGCAACGTGTCCTCAATGTTCCGCGCCGCTCAAGACCTCGCTGCCTGTCTGCACATCCTGTTTCCACATCACATGCATTCCTCCTGAGATGACCTACCATGAAATGCTTGGGGCGCAATACGAGCCAAATCCATTCGTAGTGGACACTGTAGAGATTAAACAACGCTTTCGAGATCTCCAGTCTGTCGTGCACCCGGATCGCTGGGTAGGGAAGGGATCTGTACGTTCATTATTCTGTTAGCGTGCGATTATCTCTGATCTCATTTACTGCAGGAGAGGCAGGATGCAGCAGCGACCATGTCGGCCCGCATAAACGAAGCACTTCATCGCTTGTCAAACCCCCTCCTGCGCGTCGAATACATCCTCGCGCATGAGGGCCATGCAGGGGAAGAAACGGACAAATTAGAAGACCCCACACTCCTGATGGAAATTCTTGAGATGCGAGAGCTGGTAGAGGGTGCTGAATCCCGAGAGGTCGTCGACGAAGTGAGGTCGGAGAATGCTGGTGCGTGATCATTTACGAGCACTTGCAGTCATTGTTCATGCATGCATATACAGTCAAGCTAGAGGAGACTGTGCAGGAGATAGAACAGCTGGTCGGGGAGAAGGACTGGGCTGCAGTGAAAAGTGCTGCGGTGAAACTTAAATATTTACAAGGCATAGAACAGGCTGCCGCTGCATGGCCGCATCGATTCAACGACCATTGATGTGTATGCTCTTCGTTGGTGCACTTACGGCTGTATGAACCATTCCCTCTCACTTTCGAGCGTGTCGTTCAGCCTACCGCCCCGCAGTCGACATTGGCAAACAGACATGATACTATTGGCTCAAGCACCTATTTGTATATATATCACCGTCCCTGTTCAACGTCGAGTGCGCTCTAACTGTGACGCATGAGGCTTGGCCAATTGCGCGATACGGATATGTCTAGATAAATGACTGCCTCAGGAAGGTCGTCTTGGGGAATAGCATGGACCAGAATCTTGCACAGCGTGACTCAAATTAGAGTGCAAAAAGCTGTTTGATCAAATCACATATCGCTGAAAGCAGATTGGTCTTGAAGGAATACTTGGAAAACACCCGGGGCACACCTTACGAAGCCGACTGCATGTGAAGCTTGTGAACAACTTCAGCTCGCAAAACGCATGCATTCCTTATTCTATCCCCACACCTGTCTTACACCTTCAAGCTTCAAGCTTTGAGCACTCCAGAAGTTGCTTTGGGCAACTATTTTGGTAGCTGAGATGGACCACTCCAGTCCGCATACATGTGAGTTGGGGCGAGCTGCGTTCATTCTATCGATTTCAGAAACCAAAGCGAAGTTCGAACGGGGACCAGAAGTTGAGGGATGTGGCGGAGTCGATTCGGAGCTCAGTCGAATGTGGCATGATCACGTGATGTCTCGTCACCTCGTTATGCAGGGCAAATTGCGCCGAGGTCTCGTCCGACGTTCACGAGCCATCGTGTCGTCTTGGGCTAAACAACTCTGTATCGGTGTTCTTCATTTGCATAAGTCGGGAATCAAGCACCTTGCGCCGATTAGAGATCTTGGAAGTGGCAAGTTGTTAGTGAGTCTTGTTGTCTCGCCTTTCTCCGAGCTTAGTTGAGCCGAATGAGACAGATCGTTGGTTGGTTCCATATGCGCCTTGCTTTCCTCCTACGTTCAAGGCGCCGCCTCATGCAATTGGACCCTCAGAAACGGTCCCCTCAGACAACCCCGCCCCTCAAACGTCTCTTCTCTGCAGCCCCCTCCTCTTCATTCCAGGCGCTCGCTGATCCCGACGGCCAGCGTCCCGGCAAGATCCCAAAATTAGAAAGTAAAAGCGTCCCCTCATCTTCAATGCCGCCGCCACCGCACCCTCGTCGCAAGCCTGGGCCTGGCCCGTCGTTGCTATCCCGTATGCCTTCCTCGGGGCCTTCGCATTCATCTGGAGGCAAGAGTCGCAGAGGCAAGGCGTCAGCAATGCTGCCAAAGACCCTTCCAGATCCTTTTTGCGACGAGGCATACATCGCTAGGACGTATCGCATCAAACCGCTCAAGCCTGTATGGGAGGAGAACCCCAAGTCCCCGCTCGCAAACTTCCTCAATTCAAAGTGGTCCCGGCAGCCAGAGTACGAGACTATACAGGGCATTGGGGCAAACGGGAAGACGTTATGGAGGTGCATTACCATCCGCAGTATCATGTTTGAATGTTGCTAACGTCTTGGTCAGAGCGACTGTGAAAATCCGCGGGGATGAATGGGATATTACAGGCACTGGTGATCATGCAATTAGGAGGGATGCTGAGAAGCTTGCAGCGCTGTCTGCGATGTACCAGATGGATGCTCTCGGTGTGGTAAGCGCGTTTATCAATCGTTTTCCGCGCCCGCTTTCATGTCCAGCTAGTTTGATCAAAAGTCTGCTCCGAAGAGGCAGAAAAAGTCAGAGCCAGAGCCAGAGGTCTCACCTTCAGAGGTGAAGTTGTCTGACGGTAGCGTTGTCGACTACGAGCGCGGACGACAGTTCATGGATTATTATTGCCGACGCTTTGGATTTGGGCGACCTGAAATTTCATACACGATGTTAAATCCACGCAGCAGCAAGTCCTATTGGCAAGCGGATATGACCGTTGACGGGCGCCGGATCGGATTTGGCAAAGGTGGGAACAAGAAGATGGCTATGACAAGCTGCTATGTGGACGTTACACAATATCTAGAGCAATGTGACCCCGATATTTGGTCGAAATTCGTGCAGGACGCTAGAACAGGCAAGGACCTCGGTTTGGCGCCGAAGGTCCTCTTCCAGATTGACGAAGCTTTGCAGGAAAAAGTCGAGGACCTTTGTGATAACATTCAGAAGAGCACACTGTATAAAAATCGTCCGAGTAGGCGACCTGCTCAGCTTAACGGCGATGCGTCTGGTTCGGCTAATCCCGATATGCCTACTGGTCCCCGTGCACCGTATCGAAGACCGGTGCCACTGACGTGGCTGGAGTCGAGGTCGCAGCAACTTCGCGCAAGGCGGGAATCGTATCTCAATGACTCACGTATGTCCACAATGCGCGCGCAACGTGCTGCGTTGCCTGTATACACAAAATCGGACGATCTGTTGAAGCATATCCGAGATCATGATGTCACCATTTGTATGGCGGCGACAGGCTCAGGCAAAACGACCCAGATACCGCAGCTGATTTTGGACGATATGATTGACAGAGGGGAAGGGGCCAAATGTAATATTGTCTGCACTCAGCCTCGTCGGATTGCTGCGATCAGCGTCGCCGATCGTGTGGCGAAGGAGAGGGGGGAAGTTGTTGGCAAAGGATCATCTATCGGATATCAAGTCAGGTTTGAATCTAACCTTCCCGAGGAACATGGTTCTGTTACGTTCTGCACTACTGGCATATTCCTGAAGAGGATGCAATCTGCGCTACTCGGCGGTGGACCAATGGGTCGCAGCCTCGATGATGTCACCCATGTACTTGTCGATGAAGTTCACGAGCGGGATGTTGACACAGACTTGCTGCTAGTCGTGTTGAAGCGTCTGCTCGCGGAACGCAAAAGTCGCAACAAACCCATCAAGATAGTGCTCATGAGCGCCACAATTGATCCTAAGCTCTTCCAGGAATATTTCCGCGACGAGGAGGGCCGGCCGACAGAGGTCATCGAGATTCCTGGGCGAGCATTCCCCGTCGAGAAACACTATTTGGATGACTTTTCGCATGACCTTGCCGGCAAGGGATCTTCGTCTGGGGTTTTCCAGGACGAATCGGTACAGAAATATCTCGTGCATCAGCTAGGCGCAGCCGCACCGGTGCCTCCAGGCCGGGGTACTAGCCGTCCTCATGGATCGAACAACTCCCCCTCTACTACCGCGGGACCGCCAGAAAGCTCTCGGGACGAAGACATTGAAATCCCTATCCCTCTGGTGGCTTTGACAGTTGCCCACGTTTTAAGAAAAACCGACGATGGGCATGTTCTAGTATTCTTGCCTGGTTGGGACGACATAATTGCCGTACAAAGGTTCCTGAGAGAGAAAGAGCTCCTAGGCCTCAATTTTAACGATTCTGACAAGTTCAGGATTCACCTCTTGCATTCCACTATCCCGGTGGTTGAGCAGCAGGCCATCTTTGACCCACCTCCACAGGGAATTAGGCGCATTATTCTTGCGACTAACATTGCGGAGACGTCTGTCACTATTCCCGATGTCGTCTACGTCGTCGATAGCGCCCGGGTAAAAGAACAGCGGTACGATCCCGAGCGCCACATCTCTTCCCTGGTCTCCGCGTGGGTTGGAAAATCCAACCTCAATCAACGTGCAGGGCGCGCAGGACGACACCGATCGGGTGAATATTATGGTATATTGGGCCGAAAATTTGCGGACAATTTGCACCCACACCAGATGGTCGAGATGAAGCGTGTCGATCTCAGTAATGTAGTGATGCACGTTAAGGCGCTCAATTTCCCCGGGATGACTGTCGAAGAAGTACTTGCAGAGACTATTGAGCCACCCTCGCCTGATCGCGTAGCTGCCGCAATGAAGGCATTGCAAATGGTCGGTGCCCTTGATCAGGGAAACGACCTGACTTCGCTTGGGCGTGTACTCCTCCAGCTGCCTGTGGATGTGCAGATGGGACGACTGGTTCTATACGGCAGCTTCTTCCGTTGTCTCGATCAGGCGCTGACTCTTGCAGCCATCTTGACGAACCGGGATCCGTTCGTTTCGCCCATGCACCTCAAGGCCGAGGCTAACGCCAGGAAAAACTCGTTTACCTCGGACGATTTCCGCTCAGATGCGCTGGCCACGCTGAATGCCTACAACTCGTGGTGGGAACTGCAGCGGAAGGGCATGTACGTTGCCGCGAACAAGTTTTGTGGGGAAAATTTCCTTGCGAAGCCGACACTGCTTATGATTCAGAAGATCAAGGAGCATATTATGCAGTCGTTGTATTCGATCGGTATCATCGATGTATCGGCTGGCGGAAATGTTTCTATACCAGCGGCACCCTTGAGGGGAGGTAATTTTGCCGTACCCCCCGAATTGAACCGCAATGGCGGCTCGTCCCCCGTCCTTGCGGCTCTCATTGCTATTGCAACACAGCCGAAGTTTGCGCTTCGCACCGGCGAGAAGACTTATCGTACTGCCACGGACAAGGTAAACTAATTCGAGCAAATATTGGATTGATGTAGCTGATGCTCATGTCTTTAGACGGCCTTTATCCATCCTTCGAGTGTCAATCACCGCAAGAGGGAGATTCTCGAGCATGAGGAAGGCACTGCACTCATTGAAAAGCAGATTATATCTTATGCTGAGAAGCGACAGAACATCTCAGCTGGAGTCTCAAATGCTCAGAAGTTCCTCGTGACGACCTCTCGACTCGATCCCCTTACATACCTCTTGTTTGGCGCGTATAGGATAGAGGTAACCGCGCGCGGACTCGAATGTGACGAGTGGCTTCCGATTGTCGGTCGGCAGGATGCATTGGATGAGCTGGAACAGCTTAAGATTACAATGCAGGCATGCATGCTTCGGGTGTTTGAAGGGATCATCGCACGACAATCGCAGCCCGGCAGGCGCCGAAATCATATCCGCAATGACGGTAAAGAGGAGGAGTCAGGCGATGAAGACGATGCAATCCGCCCGTTGACCGGCGTTGAGGTCACAGAACTCGATTTGATGGCGGAAGACATTGTAAATTTGTTGAACAGCTATAGTAAGTATCGAGTATCAATGCAGTCTCGTCAAAATTCCCGGCCTGCGACACCCATGGACTCCCCCTCCTTCTTGTCGTCGCGGTTACCCTCGCTAGGTGGTTCTAGGTCGGGATATTCAACACCCTACCATGTGGGTTCGACATTCAGTTCGAGGCCAAGCACACCGAGCCGGCTATCACGAAGGTTATGATTGTTTTTGCTATTGGTGTCTGTTTTTACTAGAGTAAATCTCGCTACACTAGCTGTTATATGGATTTAATGGAATTGATGTTGTCTCGAGATCTGGCATGATGAGGCGAATCGCGGAAATGAAACATATTATACTGCTCGGCCACTGCTCTTTCGCCTAGTTCGACCAAGTGAGGAATAAGCACAAGTAGCCTCCGAGGTCACGACAAAGTCGAGTGTCGCCACGGTATAGTGAAGACTAAATCCCATCGTCGGATATCCACCATTTTGTACATCAGGGCACTGCGATACTTCAATGACAAGGCAAGCCCATAAATCTGCTGTTGCGACATCTACTTTATCAAAGCTTCAAGTCAAATGACAAGTGCTGCAAGGTTCAGCTGTATTTCTAATAACCGGCCTTGCGGTCATTATTCCCGAATCTCATTGGGAGGAATTAGTGCAGATATTAATGCAACAAATATATATGCTAGAGAAATATTGGCCTAGGCAATGCCTCTGCGTCCTAGGCTTCGTGATTTACACAGTTTGATACGCGCCTGGCGCATGCGGCTGGCTACTAGGAACCTGAATCGTTGTACCTAGTGGCTTGGGAGTCTGTGCATCAGCAGACTCATCTACGGTCTGATAGCCATCTCGTCCTCCGGAAGTGAACCCGCCGGGCATCGCCCAGACTGGAGGAATTGAATGTATGAGTTATTCATTTGAACTTCAGGGACTCGACAGTTGCACTGACCTGTCGCTCCACTCAGGTCGCTTCCGCGAAATCCAACACCAGAACCTCTTTGTTGTAAAGAAGACATGAATGTTAATATGGTCGGGAACTGTAAATAGTCCGGTCAACAGGGCGTTGCACGGGCGTGGCACAAGGTCAACCACACATACTTTTAGGACGAGTAGCAGGATTGTTAACAACTTGAAAAACCAGTGCTGATCATAGTTGTACATCCAAATGATGTCGTAGATGACAGATGCGCTTAAAAGATAGGTGAACTATGCGTCTTTTGTTGAACACAGTGCATCAAAGAGATGAGAGGCAGAACACGCACTGTCTGAAGAGACTGAACACCGTCTGGGTTCTCCTGGGCATAAATTCCAAAGAGGAAAATAGGAAGGTTGTACTTTGGGGCCTCAAAGGCACTGACGGCGAAGGAAAGACCCTGCGGGTATTTTAGTCTGTGAATGACGCAGACGTGGCAAAAGACGAACGGTCCCGACGAGGACGAGCTTCGAGGTGTCCAGACGTTGCAAAAAGTCGGCCATGATAGAGGCTGGTAAGCTGCAGGAGGGAAGAAGGGAAATGCTGCGGTGTGTGGGGAAGGAAGCGCGGACTGGTTTGGGTTGCGCGTCTGCGCACTCCGCCACCGACGAAACTGATCGCAGCTATGTCCGAGTCCAAAACTGTTTTGGATCTCCTCTCCTATGTTCGCACCAGAGTCACCGTCGATGTCGACTCGATGGATCCTGCCGTCGCTGCTCGGCATACCTCAGGTAGCAAATTCTGCGACATGACCTCCAATCAGGCCATCGTCTACTCTGAGGCCGCCAAGCCTGAGCGCGCACAGCTCTTCAAGACTGCTTGTCAACTGGCACGGGTCAGCGGATCAGACACGGAGAGTCAGATAACAGAGGCTTTGGACATTTTGGTCGGAATCATCTCTCAGATCATGGTGGTCCGATCAGAGCTTAACCACACGCACAGACTGTCCTCCTCGCAAAGGAGGTGTATCCCTACCTTACTGGTCGTGTTCATGCACAGACCTCTCCTCCCACTGCCTATGACACTGAGAAAACCATCGCACACGCGAGGAAGCTCGTCGAACTTTTTGAGGCAAACGGCATACCACGGTGTGCATCATGCTAATATTACCGCTGCGTCACTGAATCATCAGCGCGTACAATGCAGCGACCGGGTGTGTATTAAGATTCCTGCGACACCAGAGTCAATAATAGCCTGCCAAAGGCTCGAGAGTACCGGCATCAGGACTCTTGCGACTTGTCTTTTCTCCCTTCCACAGGCCGTGGCTGCTTCCCAAGCAGGCTGTCTCTACGTCGCGCCGTACTTCAACGGTGACTGATTGGCTTATCGTGAATCAGATTTGACCCAATGACTAATAGTTCTTTTCAACAGAGCTCCGAGTGCACTTTGAACCGAAAATATGGAAGGAATACAACGACACAGCGAGAGAACATCCGATGGCGCCTGTCATCGCCTCTATAGTCCAAGAGTTTAGAGCAATTGATTCGAAGACGCTAGTCATGCCTGCTAGGTAAGGGGCCATGCACCTTCGTGGAAAAATATCTCAACATTACTGTAAAGCATCGTAACCTCGACAGAGGTATGTATATTCAATATGATTTCCATCGAGTATAATTAAGCCGCTCCCATTCGTGAGGTCATTGCATTGGCGTCGTTGCAACCTGATCATCTCACGCTAGCGGGGGCAGTCTTGGACCAGCTAGCAGCAGCATCGAATGTCAAACTTCTTGATGAACCGAATACACATGCCTCTCTTAGCATAAACACTACGAGTAATGGCGCTTCATATGGAAAAGGTTGCTTTATAGTGATGTGCTCTGCGGAGGCTATTACTTATGACAACACTGAATATAGATTTTCTTGCTGATGGCGCGAGCGCACTCAGACAGGCTCTAGCTGCTGATGCAGAGGCTACACGCAAACTCGCTGACGCGCTGAAGATATTCGGCGAGATGGAGCAGAAAACCAGGGAACTCGTAAGGAAAGAGCTGGGTGAGATGTAAGGGCTACAAATACGGGATATACCGACATCCATTCTGTCTGTGCCATTTCAATGTTTGATACAGGAGATAATCGTAGTGTACAGTAGTGATGAACAGGGGTATGAGGTCAAATCAAATGTCGTCTGAATTAGAAACACAAGAGTTGTCCTTGTCTGTGTTGGTACCAGTGTCTTCCAATTCTTCTACTAGGTCGCCAATGATTGTAAGGCGTTCCGCTTTGCCCTCTACCTTTTTGCGCTCGAACAGCCAAGGGCAATCTAGTGATTCGCATCTGACAGGCTCCCCGGGGGCAGTTCCGCAACAAGAGCTACAAATTAATTGTACATCTCTCAGTCGGTCTTCTGCCACTCGAAGTCGGGATAGAAGTCCGGAAATGGTCGTTATAGGATCAGCGCGACAATCATCGCACAAGCCTGAAGTATCACTCAGCAAGGCGCACTTGATGAACACGCGATGGTTACCTTCCAACGTCAGTGCTCTACAGTTGATACAATGCGAACTCAGAAAATGTTCTTCAATCTTGAACGCGTTAGTTGCGGCGGTGTATTTCTTGACTCTCCTCGGTGACAGGGAGATTGGGTCTAGTGGCTGGTCTGCACGCAGCGCTTTCGGCATGTCATCGTACCAGCTCCTGACGTCAGCACCAACTAGATTGAATATTCGCTCGAGAGGAGGAATCAGTACTCGAGAAATATAGTACACCGCGTCCAGCTGTTTTTGACTAATCCAGATAAGCCAAACTGTCATCGCGAGATAGAACGATGTACCTGTTGTCAATAAGCTCGCCAGGAGAGACAGCCCTGTCTACCAGCCTGGTATCTGGGTCACCGCGCATGATAACATATGGTACACGTTCCCCATATTGCGGCTCGTCCATGGGGTCATTGGTCGTGCGTCGTGCGGCGACAGTGACTCCTGGGGGTGGTGGAACTTTATCACTGATGACCGAATCAATGTGTGGGCAGCAATCAGCCAATGGGACACACACCTATACGTCCCCATCTTCACCTCTTTAGCGAATATAAAGTCGTGAGGTGAAACTCTATTCTCCAAGATTCGGGTCCAAGATTCATAACAGTATTTTTTGACTTTACTGAGATCCTGCGTGCGAAATAAAATTCTAGCATCTATCAGCAAAGTATTACGGGATTTTTTAAAGCATAATACTTGAGGCAAGTCTCTGTCATCTTCTGCTGAGCGGGAATTCCATCTCGACGGACAGTTTCAATGCCCTTGGCATCGAATGTCGGCTCACTGTCATCTGGACTTTCGAACTTGAATCCAACATATCGTTTCTTCGCCATCAGCACACACGGAAGGTATACCTAATTACAACTATAAGGTCTGCGCCACATAGATAAATGTCGACATTATTCACCTTCTCAAACTTAAGCTTTACTGGTGCAGGATTCATGGATGTGACCGTCTCAGCCATATCTTGACCAATGCGGAAGGCTTGCTCCTTGGTCTTCCCACGAAGGTAAATAAAAAGTGAATCTGTATCACCGTACACAACCTTCGCCCCCCATTTCTTCGTTGAATTGATGACGCGAATGGCCTTGATTTAGAATGTGTGTCTCAGATTCCAAACATCAGTGGCACACAGATTTGCGTTACCTTTTCCAACGTCTCGCGACCACTCTGAACAATACTGTCAGCAATTTCAACCGCCGGCATCCGCCCAGAGAATGTAGCACTGGTATATCCGTATGTGACATTGGCAATGAACTTCAGGCCGAGCTGACGAGCATCCAGAATTCGTCTGAGTGCCTATGAGACATTATTATACTCATGACCAGATGCATGCGATTTGGAGCACACCTTATCGTCTTTGGCCCCCTTCATTGCTTGTTTGACCATCACCCGCGTATCCAATAACTCAGTCAACATCCTTCCTAATAGTCCTTTGCGTACGTCTTGATTAACATACACCATCCCGTTAGGTGCGACTGCAACCATGAGGCTTTGGTTTTTTGTATTTGTGCAGCATCTCGATGAGACTCACCGTGCATGTGCTCTTGTAGTGTTTCCAATAGCCCTGCAGGCTGATGTAAATCCGTTACGCCGAATTTGTTTTGTCCTTTGAAATCAGTGACACGTCCAAGACACGTAGAATAACAATAATTATATGCGATCATAACGGAGGGATACAATGATTGAAAGTCGAGTACGACAAGAGGACTGTTATAAAAGGCGGATAGAGGTTCCATGATAAGTGGCATACATTCTGCTGCGTTCTGTTTTCCGACCTTCAACGGTCATTAGCTTTCTGCAGGAGAAAACAGCGGAATTACTCACATCTTGCTTACTGGGGGATAGTAGCACAAAACTCTCTGGTTTAGCTATCCGGAACATGAATGATTCAACCTTGAATTGCGATCCTCGGCTGAGAACAGAAAAGAAATCGACCCCGAAAACCCGGGCAAATTCGCTGCATTAGATCAGATAGAGACGATATCAATGTCAGCAACAATTGCACCAAAACGAGGGGCGTACGCATTCTTGGTGACCACTTCAGCTACATCAAGAACTTCAAGGACCATGACGACTCGGTTCGAGAAGTAACGCAATAGATCGGAAGTGTGATAAGGAGATGTGCTACGATACCATTTTGTCAAAGTCTCGCAGGAATACCAAGGTGTTCTAAATGACCAATATGAATCCGTAATAAAACGTATAAAGTTTCTTCACATACCGTCGGCGAAGAAGTTGGAAAACTACATGCTCAAATGCATGGCTCGTGAAATTGTGTTCGGCTCTTATAATCCTCCAAACATTCAACACGTGTCGTCCGATGACTTTGAACGTAGACGTCGTTCGCATGCCCCACTGATCTGAGCCACTACCAGTACGTCGCCCGAATGCGCGAGATATTTGATCTCCTAAATCTAGGCCTGAAAGGAATTAGTAAAACATGACGAAATAAACCGCTAATTTGTGTACCATAACTTTCGGCTCGTGCATTCAGGTAGCCCCATGATGATGCCTGGATCTCCCATCCTACGACGATATCGGGATCAATCTCTATAACCAAATCGATGACCCGATTGAGTAAATCTAACTCGCTTGGGACAAATTCGATTTTGTGGTCTCGAATTCGACGGGCGTTCATACAGTCACTTTCGACGGCAACAATGCCTCGTTCACACGAGAATGTCCCATCTTGAGCCGATTGCGGACCTGCAGAGTCTTGATACGAATAGAACACAGCCATAATCTCGTCTTCATCTGGATTGGGAAGTAGCTTTTCTCTCGAAGGCGCTATATAGAAATAATCATTCCAGTGCCATTGTGACTATAGCTCATATAATCCGACTTACCAAAAATCTCTAAGGAGAGTACACTCATATGCAAGTGCTCACGCATCGGCAGTTTGGACGTCTTTGCTGGTGTATTGACCAGTCCATATGGGTTAGCTTGGGTTGGCCCTTGGATCTAGTCAAAGAATGTGTTCATTACATCCTTCAGCGACAAATCATAATCAATATACCTGCGAAGGCTGCCTGGGCTTGTCCTGGCTCATAGCAATCGGATGGACCATTAACCATCGACGTATTTGCTGGGGAGTTGGTGGGGAGCTTGCATACTCCCATCCATACACATCAGTATCATCCAGAGGCGCCCCAATTGCGGAACCAGAGTCGTTTATGTTGCCACTTTGTGGGGCCCATTCCTCTAGGTTGCTCAAGCTCTCTCCGCCTTTCAAATTGAATACCAAGCCTGCATACTCCCTCGGCCGATCAGGTACATCGGATGCACTGGAATAGTAAGGGTCAGTATAAATTTTGTTAGGAATCCCGTATTCTTCGATGCTGTTCAAGAGCTGCGAAGTGGACGGTGGCTGTTGCGCGTAAACATATTCGTGTGAACGGGATGCCAATGACGCCGGAGTAATCATCTGCGTCTGTGTTCGATAAGAGCTAGAGGAACGTGGAACCGACGACGGAAACAAAGGATCGTCGAACCGAGCAATAAGTGCGCCCAGCTTGCGCCTTTTAGATGGCCTTTCTTCATCACCACTGAGTATTCGTACATGTTTATATTGGTCAACCGACTTCTGTAACTCTATTGGGTGGGTGCTCTCCACGGACGGCGTACAATGATGGCCTTTGATCAGATGATCATCTACATGTGAGAGACTGACGCATACCTGATATTTAGTGATACTATAGTAGTGCTCGGAAATTTGAATACCACCCACCTAGGAGTTAAATTTGCCGCAGCAAAATTGGCAAGCCTTGTCGGCCTAATCGGAGAAAACACGTCTGGGTCTCCGAGTCCACGCTTCGTGGGTGTAAAAGGAGAGAAATTTACATGCGTCGATGTTCCCCTCCTGTGTTAGAATGAGAAGACACGCAGAATAATAACAACAGCACATGTTACCTCTTCTTGGGTGTTTGCGGAAGAGATTCCGTCGCGACGGAAGTAGAACGACGATCAGGATACCTGTTTGACATATATATATCGCAATAAGAATTCACAAGGTAAGCTCACCCTGCAAGTTTGTGCCAGCCACTTTCAAACTGACTGCATTGT